AACTATTCCCCTAGTCATACAGTACTATAAACTACTGTCATCTCAATAATAAAAAAATATAAAATGAAATGAGTTAAAAACGTGACAGGATATATATGAATAACAGGATACAAGATTAATCTACACAAGCCAATTGTATTTCTGTGCACTTAAAATGGACTGTCTGAAAACGAAATTCAATTCCATCTCTGCCCAAATCCCAGATTTGTTTGTAGAGAATGAAAAACTCATCCTACAATCATATGAAAATGCTACCTAGACTAACCAATAACAAAAACTCTGTTGAAGATAAAGAACAAAGTTGAAATATGCACATTTCCCAATTTCAAAACCTGTAACAAAACTACAATAATCAAGGCATAAGGCATAAAGTTATACATAAAAATCAGTGAAATAGAATTCAGTGTCCTGACATAAATTCTCACATTTATAGTCAACTGATTTTTTGGCAAGGCTGCCAAGATGATTCAGGAGGGGAAAAATAGGTTTTTCAATAAATGGTACTGGGACAACTGGATATCCAAGTGTAAAAGAATGAAATCGTAGATTATACCTCACACCGTACAATGCATTAAACAAAAATAGATCATAGATGTAATAGTTAAAATTTTAAAACTCCTAAAAGACACAGGAGTAAATCTTTATAACTTGGATTTGGCAGGTCTCTTAGCTATGTCACCAAAAGCTGAGTAACAAAACAAAAAAATAGAAATTGGATTCTAAAAGTTTTGTCCTTCAAAGACATCATCAAGAGCAGGGCCCTCACTGGTGGCACAATGGGTTGTGATGCAGCAGATTATAAAGCGCAGCTCTGTGAAGCTGGCCGAGGCCACTGCAGCACGAGTTCCACCCCTGACTAGGGAGCTGACCCACATGGCGTGGCAGACCCCTCCTGACCCTCCCGCTGCTCCCCTCAGCAGTGTACTTCATCCATCAGCCTGTTCTGCTCCCCACTCTGTCTTTGGTGAAGCTTCCCACCACCCCTGCACCTCTGGCCTGTATCCCAGTTCTAGATGAATAAATAAATAAATCTTTAAAAGAAAAAAGTAAGTAATGAGCAACATGCAGAATGGGAAAAAAACCTTTGCAAACCATGTACTTTGACAAGAAAATTATATCAAAATATGTAAAAACCTATTACAACTCAATAATAACACACAAATAGTCCAGCTAAAACATGGACAAAGGAGCTGAATAAATACTTCTCCAAAGAAAAATTAAAAATTGCCAGTATGCAAAAGAAGAGATTCTTAGTATCATTGGTGATTGGGGAAATGTAAGTCAAAGCCTGTGAGAATAGCTGTAATTTTAAAAAAAGACAATAGGAAGTGTTGGGGATGATACAGGGAAATTGAAACCCTCATATATAATGGGGGGAAATGTACAATGACGCAGCCACTTTGGGAAACAACATGGCCATTTCTTGAAATGCTAACTATGTAGTCACCAAATTACCCAGCAATACAGTCTGAGGCATATACTACATAGAAATGAAAACACATCTCCACACAAAACCTGGCATACATGAATGTTCACGAGAGAATATTTTATAATAGTTAAAAAATGGAGACAACTTAGTCCATAATCTAATGAGTATATAAATAAAATAATGTGGTATATCCAGACAATGATGTATTTTCATCCATGGAATAGAATTAATTAATGATACATGCTACAACAAAAATGAATATTTAAATTATTATGCTAAAGGCTTCCAAAGCAGCAGAGGGGTTAAGTCTCAGCTCTATCACTGCCAGCGCATGACTTCAATCCCTGGCCAGGGACCTGATGCACATATCATGGAGCAGACCTCTCCTGTCTCACCTGCTGCTCCCCTCAGCAGTGTATTTCAGTAAATCTACCTGTTCTTCTCCCCACTCTGTCTCTGGTGAATCCTCTTACCTGCTGCAACTCTGGCCTTTGCCCCAATTCTACACACATACAAAAATAAAAACATTTTTATGCTTAGTGAAAAGAAGCCATTCATAATCACATATAAGTAAATTTTTTTTTAAAGATTTATTTATGTGTACAAGAACTGGGGTACAGGCGAGAGGTGTGGGGGTGGAGACTGAGAGTGTTCATCAGTGACAGAGTAGGGAATAGAACAGGCAGATCTACTGAAATCCACTGCTGAGGGGAGCAGCAGGTGTGACAGGAGAGGTCTGCTGTGCCATGTGGGCCACCTCCCTGGCTGGGGATTGAAATCATGCTGCAGTGGCTGCAGATAGCTTCACAGTGCTGTGCTTTAGCCCCTTTCATCACCAGAGAGGGTCCAATAAGTAAATTTCTTAAAGAGGTAATTAAGTTAAAATGAGATCTTTAGGGTAAGCCCTAGTCCATTAATGGGAAGCTATATCTTAAGAGGAAACTTGGACACACAGAGAGACATTGGATCTCCATGTGCAGCAGAAGGAACCCTGTGGGGACACAGCAAGCAGATGGCCATGTACAAACCAAGGAGAGAGGCCTCAGGTGGAACTAGACTGAATACACCTTGATCTTGGCCTTCTAACCTTTAGCAGTGTGAGAAAACAAATTCCTGTTGTGTAGATCACCCAGACTGTATTTTTTTTTTTTGTGGTTGCAGTTGTGACAAACTAATACAATAGTACTTTTGAAGATTGTAACAATGATGTGGTATGTAAGAAAGGTCCATTGTTAGAATTAGTGCATTTTACAGGAGACATTGTTTCCATCATCAATTGTTGGAAATGTGAGATCTCTCCAGATGATCAAGTTCTGTGCAGTAGCTACCATGAATGGCTTGAAGAGAGCCCTGGCTTTTGAGACTGCCCTGTTCACCAACCTGAAAGGAGGTAATCACTTGGAAGATCTCTACAGGCCCTTGGATTTTCATAAATCAGTAGAGAGTGACCTAGGTGTGCTTAAAAGCAGGGAATAGTTATTTTTAAATGATGTTTAATTACTGAGAGATTTTAATAACATGGGGAGATGATTCTATTCTAGTTTTGTGTAAAAAAAAAAAACAAACCTCAGCATGTGAATTTAATATGCATAGATAGAATGACCTTATCTATGTAAGGCTATTCATAGAAGATTGACTAGAAATAGAGTCCAAGGTAACATCAGTTTTTCTTTGTGCTAAGGTCATAGTTTTTGAATTGCTTGTTTTTTTTCCCTTTGTACCTTCCTGTATTTCCATAGGTTTATAATAAAAAAAAAATAAGCTTATATTTTAAAGACTAGAGGGCTGATAGCCCAAGGCAGGAAATAAGAGTCACATCCAGGTTATATATTTCTTGTTGGCATCCTGTTGCCTACCTATATCCTTGGGATTTGGCAAATGATGTTGCCTGTGCCTGGAGATTCTGATTATGAGCCTGTAGAGTTCTGATGTCTAGAAGAAGTCTCTGAACTCTAATCCTCCCGTCAGGGCTCTACGCCATGACTCTGAATTTAGGGTTCAGAGTGCCCACCCTTCTTTCTCTACCGGTGACTCATTCCAACCAGTCTCTCCCTCCTCCACACCTGTCTCCTGAACTTTTTTTTTTTGCACATTCATACTACCCACAACACAGTAACATCTGTGTCCTACATGGACAGACTGGCTGAACAATAAGAGGAAGAGGAAAAAAAAATGAGAAATTTGGGGGGAAGTGTTTCTGAGGTTTCCTTTGATCCTTCTCTCTCTTTTTCTGTAGTAGAAGGGCTAAATCTGATTGGTGAAGCACACACAGGGCATGCTTAGTTGAGCTAGTCTTTTCTTCTTCCTAGACATCTGCCTTCCCTCAGCAAGGATATCACCTTGCTCTGTTCCTCAGGGAGCAGGGTCCCCTGACTGCCCAACCCTAACCCTCAGGGCAAGAAGATCTGGTAAAATGTTAAGTGTGACTAGGTGAAGAAACCTACCTAATGCTGAAACTCACTTGGTATTTAGTATCTCATTTTCTCTCAGAAAAATGAAACAAAACAAACAAATAAAAAAACCCCAGTAATCAAGAGGCTATTTTGGCCTCTGATCACTCTGTTCATTTCTCATTTTGACCATAAAACAGGAAGAGTGGGGCCCTCCCTGGTGGCGCAGTGGGTTAAAGCACAGCACTAAGAAGCTAAAAACCACTTCAGCATGAGTTCAACCCAGCCCGCCCTGGAGGTGACCGCATGGTGCAGCAGACCTCTCCTGATCTGCCTGCTGCTCCCCTCAGCAGTGTACTTTGTTAGTCGGCCTATTCTGCTCCTCACTCTGTCTCTGGTGAAGCCTCTCACCACCCCTACAATTCTGACTTGTACCCCCAGTTCTTTATGAATAAATAAATAAATCTTAAAAAAAAAAAAAAAGGAAGCGTGTTGATGGTGGGAAAGACCAGTGTTAAAGGGAACCTCTCAGAGATTTGAAAGGAAACAAATGCACTTTATTCAGAGCCAGCTATGTCCTCAACCACACAACCCTGTTGGAGACCAGCTCCAACTATTGAGGTGTCTGGAGGCATGACAGGCAGGACCCTTACGTGGGAAGGCGTTGGCGAGCGGAGATTCCTAAAAAGGGGAGAAGGAGAAAAAGGGGAAAGGGGGACGAGGAAGACATTTTCCCTTTTCACATAAAGGGGAAACTGAGGTTGAGAGGTTAAGAATTTTGTCCAGGGTCTCACAGCTACTAAGCACCAGGGCTCTGACTTCAGAACCCAAGCCCACTATGTCTGGCACTGTGTTTGGGTGCTCTCCAAGAGGCCCCTCAGGGAGGAAGCAATCTTACCCTCTCTTACGCTTCAACCCAACCAAATGAAATATAAGGGAGCAAAAACCACTGAAAGGCAAGGAACAGGGTGATTATAAAACTGAACCAAGAAAAAAAAAACAAGCAATTATTATTGTTTAAGATTTATTTTTTTATTCATACAGAACTGGGGTACAGGTCAGAGGTGCAGGGACAGTGAGAGGATTCGCCAGAGACAGAGTGGGGAGCAGAACAGGCCGACTGATGAAGTACACTGCCGAGGGGAGCAGTGGGAGGGTCAGGAGAGGTCTGCTGAGCCATGTGGGTCACCTCTGGGGTGGGGGATCTAACTCAAACCAAAGCAGCTGTGGCCAGCTTACTGTGCTTGCTTTAACCAGGGAGAACCTCCCCCCATATTTCTTGGAGACTTTTGGACAAATGCTCTTCCCTCTGCCCCCTCCCCCATCCCACTGTGCTCTGGCTCCTCCAGGGGTAAAATAATTCAATAATACCTGGTCTTCCTTAAGTCAGACTGTATGTCTCTGAGACTGGCTCAGCCCACTTGTCTCTTACCCTGACTTGCCTTTAAAAAATAAATGTGTATCATATTGTCTTGGAGAGCACATGGAGTAAAAATAATTATAATGAATAATGAATCAGCAATATATGAAAACCAGAAGAAGCGAACTAATGAACAAAAGTGATACTAAAATGCCAGCCCTAGAGGCTGACCTTTTCAAAAGACAAGCTGAGCAAATTTTTTTAGATCTGACCCCTGTAGGACAATCAGCTGGCGAACTGAACCACAGGCAGTGAGAGGGCCAACTCCCCAGATGCCAAGGGCCCAAGCGGCGTTTCCAGGAGCTCAAGCCACTGCTACTTTCTTCTCATCTTCCCAACAAAAGCTCAGAAAGTGCAAGGGCACCCCACAGGCCACTGAGCACATTCCCAATCATCCTCCAGGGAAATCTGATGCTGAAAAATGGATCTTTTCCAAAATAGTGGTTCAAGCCAGATGAGGAATTACAGAGAAGACAGCCTTTCATGGAAAATACCCTCCCTCCAAATCCCCAATGTCTTCATTAGGGAACTGAAAACACAGGCACACCAGCTGGTCTCCACTGCTTTGAAGCGCTGTGGTACAGTGGAAAGAGCAGTGCTGTCGGGCTGGCAACAACACTGGGTTTGTAGTCCTCAGCTCTGCTCAGTTTAAGCTGGAATGACCTTGGTACAAATACTCAACTTCTTTGGGCCTCAGTTTCCTCATTTGCTGAATGACTAGACCATAATGTTTTCTGGTTCTAAAATCCAATTCTTATTTCACTGAAAGGTAATCAAATGAGGTGTTCGGGTGTTCTGTTTCTCAGGGAGGCTGTTATTCCAGTGATTGGGCCTTTCACTGTCTCAGTATTTGACCTTGGCTTCCCATACTCCATAAGATTAAACCTAAATTCTTCATCATGACATTCAAGATTCTTTATGATCAACCCACACCCAACTGTTCAGCCACCTTGCCCTCACTCCCACCTATCACGTATTTTCTGTTCTAGCCAAACTGGATTATTTTTATGTTCCCATAATACTCTTACTGCGTTATCAATTACTTATTGAGCATGAACTCTGTACTAGATATGCTCATCAGTAAGTCTTTGTACATACTGTTCACTTTGTCAGCCTTTTATTAATCAGAGCTCACTGCTTATAACAAACAAGATATGAAGTATAGCAGGTTAACAAAATATGTTATTTCTTAGTCACGTAGCAGTTCATTGTGGCAAGCAGCCTCCTCCCAAGAGTATCTCTATTTTGCAGGTCAGGCATCTTGTAAGCTTTAGAACTAGCAGCTGGGGAAGAGAAGGAAGAAAAGGTAAAATTGTTTCTTAACTTAGCCCAGAAATAAGGCACATAATTTCTACTCATATGAGACAGTGGGGGAGAAGAACAGGCAGTTTGATGTACACTGCTGAGGGGAGCAGTGGGTGACAGGAGAGGTCTGCTGTGCCACGTGGGTAGTTTTGCAGAGCTGTGCTTTAACCTGTTGCGCCATCAGGGAGGGCCCCCAATTTTGTACTTTGGTGGTCAATCAGTCATCTTAGGCCCTTCCTTGGCTTCTTAGCAAAGGCTTATTCATCCTTCACAGTCAGTCCCAATATTACCTATGTAAATGGATCTAGGTCCACATATTCCTCCACCTCACTGTACTGTTCACATTTCTACGTATGATAATAACCATAATGTGCTGTGTGGTTTGCATGCCAACCTACTCAAGTGGACTCTGACACTTGATGACAGAAATGTTTTCTTTTCATTTCTGTATTTGGAAAGCTTAGCATGGTAAGTAGTAGTTTGGCAGTGATGTTTAATAAATTAATGAAAAATATCAATGAATGAAGAAACTGGTTTATATGGAGGAGCAAAAAGCTTAGGTTAAAAAAAAAGAACTGTTGTTGACTCACAGTCATCCAAAACACTAAAAAAAAAAAAAAAGCTCCCCAAACAATTATAAAAATTATAATTAATATGTTGCGCTATTATTTGCATAGAATTAGCTTCCTAAGGGGAAGGACCTTATGTGTATTACTTATTCTTTGCTATGACTGTAGCACCTAGTGCATTGTTTGGTGCATAGTTGGTACTTGGTATTTCAAAATGAATGAATGGATAAGGAAATGATTAAAGACATGAATGAAGACTGCTTCCTTAATCCCATGAGCCAAATAATAAATGCATGGCTTGGATTATAAGAGGCAAATGTAGGTGGGACAGTGAAAACTTACCAACACTAGAAAACAGGACAGAGTGCAAATCAGGACCTTACTTACTTACCATCATTACCTCGTGTAGTACATGTCATCATCCTCTTTATATAAGATGATGAACAAACATTATTGGCGGAAGCTAAAATCTCAACGGGAATAGTGGCCTATAAGTAAATGAGAACAAATGGATGTCTGTAAAATGGTTGCAATATGAAAAAGCTTTTGCAGATTGGCTTATGAGAAAAGGAAGCAAGAGTGCAGATAATTACAGAGTTGCAACGACTGTGAATACATTGATTAAGCAAAGGCAAACACATAATTTTAATAGTTTGTGAAGAGGTATGGAAATATTTCCTTAAAATATTCATCACACAGTTTTTTTCTCCAGATAGGTTCCATGTGACAAAGTCTGGTTTAGATAGTACAGATGGCCTCTGGTGGGTTACTTGCTAGACTGTGTCACGGGAACCACTTACAAGAGGGGAAGACACGAGCGCGTGGTAGAATCCAAAGAAGCACCACTGAGGGGTGTGCTGCAGATAGCCTGAAACTCTGGAAGGTCTTAAGTGTAAGCAGACAAATCCTGTGTGGACCGATTTGTGGTGCTAATGAGGCTGCTTCTGACATGGACTTCTTCAAGAAACTGAACAAGATGGAAATGGTAGAACCTGAAAATAAGACAGTACATTTACTTTACATTTACACACCTTTGATGATACACGCTAACAAGACTATTGGCTGCCCAGAGGCACCATCCCTCTTTCTAGCAGAAATTATCATGAGCTGGGCAGAGAGATAAATTATATTTCCAAATTTCTGTTGAAGTTGTGCAGAGGCATGTGGCTGAGTTTTGGTCAATGTTGACGGGAGTTCCAAATCTGGCCCATTCAAAATCCTCCCGTGCAATGCTTGGCAGACTCTGTTCCCATACACCAGTTGAACAGAAAGGATTCTGAGAATCTAGGGGCTGGTTGAGCCATAGGGTGGAAGAAGCCTGTGTCCCTAAATTACTGCATAGGGGATGACTACCGCATTTCGCACCTCTATCTCTACCAATCCTTATTGGATTATGATAAGAACAATACATGTTAATTGGGTCAAACCATTGAGAGTTTGAAGTCACTTGTTATATAACAACTAGCCTATCTTAACTATCTCCCAGCTTTTCTTCCCAACGTTTCTCCTGTTCCCAACTAGGAAGGAAGGAAAACTAGGGTAAATACTTGAAACCTCAAAGGATAGAGATAAAAGAAGGTATCAGAGATGTTGACCACAGTCAACATCAGGGAATATTACATATTAACAGGATTCTGTAATTAATTGTAAAGGCTTGGAAATTCCCACATATAAAGATAGTCTAGCCTCCAGTGATCTAACTAATCCTCTCTGGATATTTTCTTGATGGTATAACAGGTTTGTCCCCAGAAAAAGGGGAGGTTCCAGGCTTCTTGCCCCACCCAAAGGAGGGTGGAGCTGAGCAGGGGGGAGAAGAATCTGGAGAGGAGACCGAGGGAGGTAGGAAGCAGAATGGAGAGCCAGAAGGAGACCTGAGGGAGGCACATGGGGCAGAGAGACATATGAAGAAGCTTTGCCTTGTTTCTTGGCCCTGGACTGGTTGAAAGAGATATGGGTGAAAGACTGTTGGGGAGGTTCAGTATGGCAGTATTTATCTTGATTTTGATTTTTCTCTTTTTCTCCCAGACTAATCTAGCCACTTCTGACCTTTTTCTATGGGTCCCTGCCAGAAGATGCTTCAGACTTATGGCAGGCTTTCAGGTCTTGCTTTAGGCCAATCCCTTTTGGGTGGACTTTTACCCACAAGGGGGTGGGTAACTTTGGGTGTTTGATTTAGAAACTATATTCTTTATCTTTTCTGTATTGCACACTAATTGTATTAAAGTTCCTTTCCATTAAAGGTCTTATGTTTTTTCTTGATGCAGCAGATGGTAGAACCTATTTAGAGTGGGTAGGTTTGGGGGGTCAAGGGAGCCTCTCACTGCCCTGTAGCAGTAGGACAGTAGATGATTATTTCCAAACTAGTTCTCATATGAGCCTCCAAGAAAATTTATTCAACTCAATATGCTTTGTGTCATTTAAAACTGTGTTTCTTTAGTCTTTTTGTTTTGTCTTGTTTTTGTTAAACATGGTGATTAGGAACAAGAAATTAAATGGTGGGGCCACCCTGTTGGTGCAGGGATTATAGTCTCAGTGCTAACAAGCTATCCTCAGCTTCTACAGCCTGGCCTGAGTTTGATTCCTGGCCAAGGAGTGACCCACATGGTGCTGCAGACCTCTCCTGTCTTGCCCACTGTGCCCCTCAGCTTTGCATTTCAGTGATCCTCCTGTCTGTTCCTCACTCTGTCTTTGGTGAATCCTCTCAAATTCCCCCCACCACTACCACCATACCTCTGGCCTTCACCCCAGTTCTTGTATGTATAAATGAATTTTTAAAAAGGAATTAATTGGTAAGTAACTTTGTATTTAGAGGTATACATTTTAAGTAATTACACAAGATTTGGTTAAGCATAATACTGATGAATGGGGATTCAGTATTGTGGCAAAAAAGAGGTCTTTGGGTGCTTGCCTGAGGATGTTATTGGGAAACTTTTGTTTACTTACTAGACTTTGAAAATTAAATCCTTTTTCAAGTAGCCTCTGGGTGTAAAGGACAATAAATAAAGATGTGTTGATTGAAAACATTTAAAAAACAACTTGTTACAGCCTTTACAAATAATAAGGAATAAATCCAGCTTTGAATAAATTATTCCAAATTCATTTGGTCTGCTCAACAAAAACAATGAACTTGAAAGCTGGACTGTACTGTACAGGTCACTTCTCTATAGCTACTCCACAAAATGTACTTTACAAGAACCTAGGACAAGGACTTCTAGAAAATGCTAAATGACTTCTGACTGTTAACTATAAATCTGAACTCTCACTCATGGAGAGCCTTCGCTGTCTTCTTTATCTCGGAAGAGCCTAGAGAATGAACCAGGAGATAGACAGGGCCCAGGAAAAGGAGGAGCTAAGAGATTTTTTCTAATTTCTCAAATCCCAATGGTGCTGAAATAGAAGAAGCTGACTTAGGATAGTACTTTTCTCTTTGGGAAATAAATTCTGCTTCCTCATTTTCAAGACAGTATAAACTAAGCTATAATGAACTTCTTACTTTCTCATCATTTCCACTACCTTCAATTTCCTTCCCTTTTTCCCAATAAATGCTATTCCTTTTTCTTCCACTTAAAATACCAAATTTCCTTATAAAGAGTTAGGTAGTCAGGGGCAGACCTGGCAGCAAAGGAATGGGTATGCTTAAGGGGACATTGCTAAATAAGGATAAACAGTTATCCTGCCTCATAATAGGGCCTGTTCATCCACACAAAGGATGTTGTAGGATTTCCTACACCTCTAGTCAGGACCCTCAGTAGTGGACAGGGGTTTTTAACAGGGCCTCATGTGGCAGTGTAGAGCTATGTTGTGTGATTACTTCCCAATGTCTTTTCTCATTGATCAGATTCAGGTATTTATCTATGTAAAAAATTACAATTTTAAAGAAAACATATTAAATATTTATTAGGTAACGAGGTATTGTATTCGTGAGTGGTTTATATACCTATCATCTAAAATTCTAACAGCCATCTGAAAAATAGAATGATTTGCCCCATTTTTACAGAATCCTACTGCTAGAAACTTAATTCAGGTTGATCTCACCTCCACATACAAATTCTTTCCAGTATTTTCTCTCTCAGTACAGACAATACATAAGCCAGCAAGAACTTTTGCTTAGTATGAAGATGAAATCTCCACAGTGAGTTGGTGTATTAGAATCTCCCCCACCTTTCATTCCCTCATCCTCCTAAAAGGAAAGATGCTTTTCAATATTTTAGTGAACTTGTGTAGACTTTATTATGAATAAATTTACAATATCTCCTAAGCTTATTTGAAGTACTAGACATAGTTCAAGTAATTCCATTGCTATCTTTATAAACTCTGAGAGTCTAGGGAGACCAGACTAGAAGCAGGAGCTGGAAGTTCAAAAATTAACAAAGGAAGTCAGAACAGAGCCAGGCTCAGATACACCCGCTGGAATTCTCCAATTTCTTTTATTCAGGACTCAGCGGCATGGCATGGGGGATGTTTAAGGCTGAGAATCCTTCAGGAACACAAAATTTGGCAGTGGTAGTGGAGGGGTCACTTTATTGAATTACACAAGCCTACCATTATGAGTATGAGAGAAGTTAGGCATGACAAAAGAATAATGAAGGAAGAGAAAAGAAGAATAAGAAGGGCAGTCTATATAAAGAAGAAGACAAGAGAGGAACAGGGAACAGGATGGATGATCTTTTTTTTTTATTACACAAGTTTATTTTTACATCATTTTGTACATTTTTTTTTCCACGCAATTGTACTCCCCGCGGGTTTCCCATCACAAGTCACCCTTGTGCCATCACCAGCATCCTGTGCTCTTCCCTCCCCACCCCCCCCCCCCCGTTTTTGATCCCATTCCCCACTCCACCCCCACAAAATGTCTCTGGTATATGGTTGTTCATTATTTTTGTTATTTTCTCGCCTGATCCATTATACTCCTGCTATGAGTGAAACCATCCGGTATTTTTCTTTCTCTTTCTGGCTTATCTCACTAAGCATGATCTTTTCCAGCTCCATCCAAGTTGCTGCAAGAGATATGTGTTTCTCTTTTTTGGTTGCTGAGTAATATTCCATTGTATATATGTATCACATCTTTCTAATCCAGTCATCTACTTTTGGGCATTTGGGCTGCTTCCATGTTTTTCCAATTGTAAATAAAGCAACAGTAAACATGGGGGTACAGGTATCTTTTTCAATCAGTGTTTTTGTGTCTTTTGGGTAGATACCTAGGAGTGGGATTGCTGGGTCATAGGGAAGCTCATGTTTAGCAGTTTGAGGAACCTCCAAACAGTTTTCCATAGTGGTTGTACTAGTTTGCATTCCCACCAGCAGTGCAGGAGAGTTCCTTTTTCTCCACACAGGATGGGTGATCTTTTTACTGTTGGTGCTATAAACAAACTGCTGTTGGGATCTTCATCCCCAAATGTAGTAACCCCAATGGAGGTGACAGGACTGCGCTGGGTCCACATGGCAGTGCTACTGTTGAAGAACATTTTCCTCACGGGACCATGCCACTTTCCCTGCCCAAATACTGTGAAGCCAGACTTTTAAAATTATAGGATAAATGGAGAAGAGGAGAGCGCTAACTGTAGTTGTGAAGTGAAAATTGTTTGTCCAATGTGTTCTTAAATTATGTACTGCTATGCAGAAAACTCACAATTCTCCTATCTTTGTGCTAGCTGAAAGCCAAAATAACAAAAAGAAATAATCATAACTAAAATCGCCCTGTGAGGATCCAGAAATACAGGCAGCCTTAGGCAGAGTTTAACTAACTTGGGTATTTATTGCTATAAAGCAAAGTGTTTATTTGGAGATTGACATAACTCATGTTTTTAGTAATCTTAATGCTTAGGGTTAATAATGAAGTCCTTTAACCTACTTGCTTATATTTTCAATGAATCAATTGTTAAGCTTATAATAGTAAAAAGACAAGGAGTAAACATTAAAACAACAGTTTTCCTTAATTCTTAACTCTAAAATCTAAAGTCATGGTGAGGAGGGAAAGAGTTAAAGGTGGAAA